TAACAAATCTATTTGTTACTCTTGGATTTTTCTTTCATGATCAAACTTATGATTTTAAATATTACAACACATATATATATAACATATAAAACTTTATTTGTATATGTGCATGTGCACAAAATTGAATACTAATGTATATAATTGTAGGTAATTCAATTAATGCGGATAGCCTACTTTTCCCGCCCAAACCATTTTTAGCCTAATAACTAATAAGGTAACTTTATATTAATTAAGTTTAATCATATTCTATTAATAATTCTATCATAAAATAGTTATTACTAAAATTAACTAATTATAGTTCACGTGACTAGATGGTTTATGTTAATCATCAAAAATTATACTGCATTTTTTTCAAGCCATTATTTTGAAAGTAATATTAGATTTTTAATCATATAATTATTATTATTATTATTATTATTTTTTTGGTACAGGGACCTTTCAGTTTCCGGATCCATAGGGAAACCGACTAATCCGGAATCGAGCCGGGTAGAACCACAAGGGCGGCAAAGTTCTCCCTCAAGAATTTTAACACTGCTGCATTCCCAGGGCTCGAACTCGAGACCACTGGTTAAGCTGGAAGAGACCCAAGTCATCTCATCCAAGCGCTCTTGGGTATCATATAATTAATTTAATGACACAAAAAAAAACCTTAAACAATTTATGTAATAAATATTATTGTTTCAATATTTTTGTAGGTCATTAATTGGTCATGGTTCATCAAAGTAACAAAAAACATTTTCTGCAATCAATATATAGATTATTTTGTAGTTAAATAATTTGTATATATATATTGTTTCATTTATTAATAATCGAATTTAAAAAAATGTGTTATACGCATTGCCTATTTTATAATTTTAATATTGTATATACACATAATATATAATAATTTATCAATTTCGTTCATTTTATTTATTTTTGAAGTTTTAACTTATAAGGCTATGCCATCCTAAGGTGCTGCTAAATGGATGGATCTTATCAACGTCCATGAATGCTAAATCATAGATTGAACCGCTGAATCGGAAAAATTAGGTGCTATCATATAGTTTTGTATCGGCTAAATCCATCAGTTGAAGATAAACAGACTCGAACCGTTGACATCCACCGCAGGGTAAACAACCCTCTATATATAGGTGAGGACATAAGCCCTGATTACCGCCTCATTTTATCATGTTTGTTCTCCCACTATCCAATATGTATACCCCTCAAAATTATCAAAATTAATACTACGTACATTGAATAAATTTTGCCATCTGAAAAATTACCACGAGTATCTTTTTTTTTTTAAAAAAAAAAAAACTACGAGTATTTTTTTTTTTTAAAAAAAAAAAGATATTACTAAATACACTCATATATAACCCTCAACTCAATCTTCCTGACAGTAATATAATAATTTAAAATATAAAATAGTGATTTAATTTAGACGTAGGTTTTACCTTCGTTTCTTGTAAAAAAAAATATATAAAATAAAATAAATTAAAATGGGTGCTTGCTATATTAGGCATTACTTAAAACTTTAACAGCGCATTACTATTGAAGCTACTATTCAAAGGAGCAGAATTTATGCAAGCACGGCCCCCTAATGGA